ATGCCCATATCTGCTCAAGTGCCTTTTAAGGAGCAACTTGATCTGCAGAGATCAGCAAGTAAAGCAGAATGTAAGAGGCCTGCTGACCCAGCGTGAAAGCAGTGTGTTCTCATAGTGGCAAATCAGATGTCTATGAGAAGCCCATAAACAGGACCCTGAGTGCAGAAGCACTCTTCCCTCTTGCGATTCCCAGGAATTGGTTTTCAGAGGTATAGTGCCACTGACAGTGGAGGCACAACACAGCCACTGTGGCTAGCAGCCACTGAGAAGTCTTATCCAACATGAATTTGTCGAATCCTCTCCGAAACCAAACCAAGTTGGTAGTCATCACTCCCAACAACCAAGTAGGAAACCTCCAGACAATTCTGGACTCCAGTTCCCATCATCCCTGACCACTGGACAGGTTGGCTGGGATTGATGGGACCTGGAGTCCAACAACATTTGGAGGGTGTCAGGTTCCCCATCCCCAAGTAAAGCTTTTTGCACTGGCAATCTCTGCCAATTACAGTGGTGCCTCGCAAGACGAAATTAATTCGTTCTGCGAGTTTTTTCGTCTTGCGAATTTTTCGTCTTGCGAAGCACGGTTTCCCATAGGATATAGGGTATTAAGGGTTTTAAGAAAAAGGAAACAAACTTGCAAGACGTTTTCGTCTTGCGAAGCAAGCCCATAGGGAAATTCGTCTTGCGAAGCAACTCAAAAAACCAAAAACCCTTTCGTCTTGCGAGTTTTTCGTCTTGCGAGGCATTCGTCTTGCGAGGTACCACTGTAAGCTGTTTTAAAAGGCCAGGGGGCTCATGTATGTGTATGTAATATATATGAAAATCTGGCAATACTATTCCACACCCCTGAAAATTACATTAAAAAAATATTATTGCTGCAGGCTGCAAAACAGCAACATCCTATAAGTCGCAGCGAATTTAACCTGGTTTGCTCCTAAGTATTCAGAGTATTGAAACGAGTACAGTGGTACCTCAGGTTACATACGCTTCAGGTTAAAGACTCTGCTAACCCAGAAATAGTGCTTCAGGTTAAGAACTTTGCTTCAGGATAAGAACAGAAATCGTGCTCCTGCGGCGCGGCGGCAGCAGGAGGCCCCATTAGTTAAAGTGGTGCTTCAGGTTAAGAACAGTTTCAGGTTAAGTACGAACCTCCGGAACAAATTAAGTACTTAATCCGAAGTACCACTGTAGTGCAGTAAGACAATTCTAAACTCTGGATTTCTTTTTTTTTTTTTTGGTGGGAGGTCTTTAGATCAGGGGTGGGGAACCTCAGGTCTGGGGGCCAAAGGCCACTTCTCTGTCTTTTGAGACTCTTCCTAGGCCACAGCCCTTCCTTGCTTTGTAGTGGGGGTGTTTTTTGCCTGGCTGGAATTTGTCCTTGAACTCCAACCATGCCTCTTGCTTCCTGGGTTGGAGGGTCCAGAGGGTTGTGGAAATGTGTGTCAAAACCAGCCTATTATAAGAAGCTAAAATTGACACCAACTGCCCCCTCCCCACTGGCATACAACCCTCAGAAGGTTCCCTTAAAGGGGATGTGGCTCCAGACTGGGCACCACAGTTCAAGAAGGACACTGACAAACTGGAAGTGTCCAGAGGAGGGCCACCAAAATGGTCAAAGGCCTGGAAACGATGCCTTATGAGGAACAGCTAAGGGAGCTGGGCATGTTTAGCCTGGAGAAGAGGAGGTTAAGGGGTGATATGATAGCCATGTTCAAATATATAAAAGGGTGTCACATAGAGGAGGGAGAAAGGTTGTTTTCTGCTGCTCCAGAGAAGCGGACACGGAGCAATGGATCCAAACTACAAGAAAGAAGATTCCACCTAAACATTAGGAAGAACTTCCTGACAGTAAGAGCTGTTCGACAGTGGAATTTGCTGCCAAGGAGTGTGGTGGAGTCTCCTTCTTTGGAGGTCTTTAAGCAGAGGCTTGACAACCATATGTCAGGAGTGCTCTGATGGTGTTTCCTGCTTGGCAGGGGGTTGGACTCGATGGCCCTTGTGGTCTCTTCCAACTCTATGATTCTATGATTCAGACAGAAATAAAGTTATCCAACCCCTGCTGCAATAACTGCTAAGATGTAAGAACATTTCTGCTTCCGCAGGCCTATGGCCGGCTATGTTTTCCTGCATTTCATGGTGGTTACGTGTTTCAGATGGGTTTTTTATTTTTAATGGTATTTTTATTACAGACGTACTCGCTGCCTGGGGCTCATTTGAGAGGAAGAACAGGATAGCGATGCGACAAGAGTTTATTTTATTTTTTTATTACCCACCCTTCACCCTAAAGCTCCAGGGCAGGTTACAACACCCAAGCACAATACTAGAAACTGTTTAAAACAATTATACAACCTTAGAATCAAAGAATTGTAGCGTTGGAAGGGACCCTGAGGATCATCTGGTCCAGCCCCCGGCAATGCAGTTTTCCCATACAGGGACGAACCTGCAACCTTGGGGTTATACCAACTGAGCTATCTAAGCTCAGTCTTCTTTTATTTCTATCCCTTCCTTCTTTTTCTCTTTCTCCTCTCTCTCTTTAACTTTTGTTTGGTGTCCTCTGCTCTGGCCATTTTGAGCGTTTCCACAGAGGAAAGCGATGGTTGATGAAGGACCCCGAGTGAGAGGCAGGGAAGGGAAAAGACTGTCTGCAGACCGAGAGAAGAAAGGAAAGCTGCCAGGTGAGAGCTGGGAGGGTGCATCACTTTTTGTGTCAGGCAAAGGCAGACCCTCCAAGTGTCCCTATTTTCCAGGCGCAGTCCCGGATTTGCAAAAGCTGTCCTGGTTCCTGATTTGATCCTGGAATGTTCCATTTTTCCTGAGGGCCATAGCTGTCAACCTTCCCTTTTTTTGCGGGAAATTCCCTTATTCCAGCGCCGTTTCCCACTGCTATCCCGGATTGTTAGATATCCCGTAGACTGTCCCCGGGACAGGTGAGGCTGCTGATCCCTTATTTTCGAGGCTGCTGATCCCTTATTTTCAAATCTGAAAGTTGACAGCTATGCTGAGGACGTCCCTATTTTCACTGGCGAAATGTTAAGAGGGGATTGAGTTATGTGACCCCAGAGCGAAGGAGTATACAACCTTTCGAAGCCATCTGAAGGCAGAACTGTACAGTGGTACCTCGGGTTACATACACGTCAGGTTACATATGCTTCAGGTTACAGACTCCGCTGACCCAGAAATAATACCTTGGGTTAAGAACTTTGCTTCAGGATGAGAACAGGAATCGCGTGGCGGCAGCAGGAGGCCCCATTAGCTAAAGTGGTGCTTCAGGTTAAGAATAGTTTCAGGTTAAGAACGGACCTCCAGAACGAATTAAGTTCTTAACTCGAGGTACCACTGTATAGGGAAGTAGTTTTTTACGCTTATGGTTTAAAAAAATATTTTTATATATGTTAAAAGGTGCCCAGAGGGCTGGGGAAGCCCAGTCAGATGGGTGGGGTATAAATGAACCCAAAATTATGGAATAGGACGGCCCTATTTTCATGGGAGAAATGTTGGAGGGTATGGAAGGGTTAAGCGCTCACCCTGGCCAACCAGTCACCTCTCCTGGGAAGCGACGCATTTGATCGGCACTGATTTCAGGCGCGGATTTCAACAGCCAGGGCCTGGTACTCCCTCAGCTGAGCGGGAACAGGATGGGGACCCCCGGGCGTTTACCCCAGCAGCCCTGCCCCGGGGGCAACCGATCCCCGCCCTCCTACAGGCCGTGCGTAAAAACCTCTCCAGCAGGGCCAGCTCCGCCTCCGTTTCCTGCGCTCTCCTTTGCGCGCGAGAGGGCTGGTCGCCCGGCCAGCCATCCCACCCACTCCCAGGCCGGGCAGGCAGGCAGGCAGGCAGGCTGCCGATCCGAAACAGCAACGGCGGAGGCGCGGGCAGGAGCGAGTGCAGAAGGAGGAGCCGCGCAAGGAGCCGGTTTGAAGTTCGCTCCTTCGCCGCCAGCCGGGCGCGCCGCGCCACATTGGCCCTCTCCGTTCATTTGCATTGACGCCAGTAAAGGCTGGAGGTCAGCGCTGGCGGGGGCTTTTATTGGCTGCGGCGCGGCGGAGCCTGCTGGGGCTGTCAAACTCCCGGGCAGATCTTCTTCTTTTTTCCCCCTTCATTCCCCCCCTCCCTCCTTTTCTTCTTCTTCTTCTTCTTTTTTTCTCCTGGAGGTGTTGGGTTTTTACGGGAGGGAGGGTGCTGAAAAGGGGGGGATCGTGCAAGCCGGGAAGCCTCGCTCGCTACTGGGGAGGAGAAGGCGAGGCGAGTGCGCGGCTGGGCTGCGGAATCGGCGGCAGCTGCAAAGATTTCGCCGGGAGCGCCGCCGAGAGAAGCAGCAGAAGAGGAAAAAAGAAGAGGCGAGCAGCCCCTACGCGCCTGGGATTTTTCAAAAATATATATCAGAACAAGAAGCCCCTCCGCTTCCCCCCTTTCTCGCCATTTTAATTCATTCCACGCAGATCGGAACTCCCCGCTCTCCTTTTTCTGCTTTCATTTTTCACTCCTCTTTTTTTTTAAAGGGGGGGGGGAGCGCGCGCTCCGTTTTGGCGCAGAATAAAAGCCACATTTCAAAAAAACACACAACCAAAATGGAAACGGAGGAGGAGACCTCGGCTACCGGCTGGAGAATCTCGGGGTTTTTTTCTTCCTTGTGAAAAACTTAACCTTCTCTGTGTTTGTTACAATTCCTGCTGCTCTTCTGGGGGAAGGGAAGGGAAGAGAAGAGGAAGACGGAGAAATCCTCGCTCCTCTCCTGGGCTTGACCCTGCCCCTGCTCCACCCCCCCCTCGTCCCCGCGCCTTCTCCCAAGGGTGCAGTTATTAAGATGCTCTCCATTTCTACGGGTCTTCTTTTGCATCGGCGCTCGTGCCTCGGGTTGATGCGCTCCGTTCGCAAGCTTCCCTCTCGCCTCTTTTTGGGGTGTGTGTATTTGGGATAAAGGGGGGTTCTCGGTGCCCCTTGAATGGAAGGCCGTCGCTGGGTTGAAATAAGCGCCTTCTTTTTTAACCCTAACCTTCCAGGAAGAAGAGTTAGTCCGGAAGAGAAGCCCTTTTCGAAGAAAAGAGAGGAAGTAACGTGTGAATGTCCGTAACGCGTTTCCAGGTTTTCAAGCGCAGCTGTTGCGAAAGAGGTGCTGGAGGAAGAGGAGGGGGAAGCGTTTGGCTAGGAAGATGAATTTGATGGGCGCTTCATGAGGTTCCCACGATAACACCAGAGGGGGCTTTATTCGCCCCCACCCCCCGTCCAGGAAGCCCCACTTGGGAACTGATTTATTTTAATCTTTTGGGTGGAAGGCAATATCCGACCCACTTGTGGGGGGCTTGGGGTGTGGAAGGGTAGGGCTGGGGGGGAAGCCCCCAGCTACTTCGATGTAATTTGCAATACACTAGGAATACAAACGGGGGGGGGAATACTTCTTTTTTTTGGAGGTGCTAAGGAGGGAGCCGAGAATTAGTACATTCTGGCATGGATCTGGCTTCTAATTAAACAGGAAGACTGGGGAGGGGGGCTGGAGATTCCCCCCAATTTTCTATCTCTCTGCCCCCCCCTTTCAACTGACTTTTTTTTGGTGGGGGGGGTTTGCCAGTTAAACGCAGCTCCCTCCAGCCCTGCTTTTTAACCCACTTTCTGAGGTTGAGATCATCAAGACAATCAGTTTTGTAGGGTCAAAAGGAAGAAGGGGCGGAAAGCCCCTCCGCGCGCCCCCCACCCCAATTTCTCATCCGCCACCAGCCATGCGCCTTTGGGTTTGGGGTTTCTGCCTAAGGAACAGCTGACGATGTGGAGTGAAGCCGTGGACCAGGAACCAGATACGAACTGTTAAGAGAAAGGAGTCACCAAGGAGCCCGTTTTCCCAAGAGGAAAGGGGGGAAAGAGAAAAAGGAGACGAGGTAATCTTGAGCACTAGCGGCTTGAAACAGCCACCATGGGCTGCGCTCCCAGCATCCACATCTCAGACAGCAGGGTGGTTTATCACAGTAGCAAAGAGACGGAGGACTCGAACTCGTCGTCGCAGCAGCAGCAACAACAGCAAGGCAACCCTGTCTCTGGATTATTCATTAAATCTTCCAACACCTCCGCGTACAAGCTGAGGACTAATCCTTCGAAGAAAGACAAGCAAGACAACATGGAGGGGGAGTCTCGCACCAGCAGATCCAGTGTTAAGGTAATGGAAAAAGTGGAGTCGTTTGGTTGAAGGGGGATGCCTGTACTTTTCTCTTATTGACAGATATATCGAACAGGATATTGGCCCCTGTCTGTTGAGTTGGTTTTAGGTTGGTTGGGGACCTGTTTATCTAAAAATGGCAACTTCAGCGGAGTTATTTATCCCCCCCCCATTCATCCTTTTGCAAACAGAATTAAGTTTTAAGGGTTACACTCTGTCCTGTAGCAAGAGGTGCAGAAAATCTATATATACGCCAATTTCATATTGTTTGAACTTTCTTGGGCCTGCATGTGTCTAGAGAATGTCACAGTAGCAAAGCTATTATTATTTTATCCCTGCCACCCCCTGGCCCCTTTTAAGTTACCAAGTTTTTGTGGATTTAAGCAAAAGTTTGTTTTTAACCCCCCCCCCGACCTGAAACATAATGGATTAGAACTGTTGATTTAAGAGACTGATTTTTTCACACGCAAACGAACGCAGAGGACGCTGGCCTTCTGAACTTTTGCAAGGATTTGTGTGTGTTCGTGTGCAGACCAGGAACAAAATTCACCAAGGTTAACGATAAAGGTGGTCAGAAGGGGAAACCTGTAAAAACCCGGTTGGATTTTTTGCAATAAATGTGTGGTTGCCTATTGTAAGATGTTCCAGGTGAATTCACTATGTAGAATTTACAAGCAAGTTTGTTTAGGATTAGGGTAATCAAAACCACAAAGGTCATCCCACAAGAACCGAAAGACAAAAAGGCACTAGGAATATTGACTCAACTAAGAAAATAAATATTTTAAAGGATCAAAATAGACGTACTAATGCCTGCCCTGTTCAAGGTTTACAGCCCAGTTAAACTGCTATGCTCAAAATAATAAAATGAATTATACTAAAGCTTGAAATATTTATTTCAGTGAATACTTGATTTCAGTGAAACCTCATTATTCACTTTTTAAAAGCTTATTTAATATATACCTCACCTTTTCGCCAAAGTGCTCAGGGTGGCGTATACAGCTGTGTCCCATTTTTATACCTGCAACAGCCCTGACAGGTAGGTCAGGTAAAGAAACTGGCCTAAACTCAGGCCTAGGGGAAACGGTGATCTAAACTAAGCAGATATTAGAACTTGGTTGTATTTAAGCTAAACTGAGCAGCCTGGGTGCTGCATTGAACTGGATTTAACGTGTGAATGAAGATGCAAACTGTCTTAATTTCAACTGCTTCAAGCTGTTTGCTGAAGTCTAGGTGGTTTGTTTACCAGGCAATTCTGTAGGGACCATTTGCTGTCAACATCCCCTTGTGTGTTTTCATACTTTAGGGTATTCTGTTGCAATGATCAGTTGCAATAAAACAAACAAGAGCTAGAGATGTCCGTGAAATTACGTACTGATTTTAATTCTAGGTGTGCATACTAGGAAGGGAGGAAGAAGGTGGTAAGCTTAGATTATGAAACCTAAATGCAGTGCTTTCTTTCTTAATTTTTTTTTAAGGGGTACTCTCATTTTCCTACTCATATTGAAATACTGCCCATCAATGAGGCCAAGCTTAGATTCACAAAATGTTTAGGGGTATGTGTACCGCTGCGTCCCCCCAGGAAAAAAGCATTGTCTAAATGTAACGCCTGTTGCTTTTTCCCATGTAGGACGAGCCAGGTGGCTGGTTTTATGTTGAGCAAAGTGTGTGTGTGTGGAATGGCTAAAATCCTCATGCCCAGCTCCTCTCCTGCAGTGTTCAAAATTTCTCAGGCACCAGGTGCATTTAGCTACTGGTGTGGGACCAGTTGCGACTACATGGAGATTTCTGGGTACTTGGTTGGTGGTCACTAGGGGTGCCAACTTGAATAAAACGGGGGTGTGTGTCCTAGGTAAGCCCCGCCGTTCATAATCGACCACACGACACAATTTAAATGGCAATGCTCATCAACTGGGCGGGGGCAGCTCCCTCAAATATTTTTTTTTTTGGGGGGGACGACTAAAGGACCTAGGCCCCTAGGAGTTGACTCCTATGGCAACCACAGTTTTAAAACCTCTGCCTTTCGATTTCCACTGTGTGTTTTTCTCCCTCTTGCATACCGGGCCAAGTGAATTGTTGGCCACAGTCAAGCAATGTTGTTGAGATCATAGAATTGAGCCCCGGAAAGGGACATCTTGTCATCTAGTCCAATCCCCTGGCGAGTAGACATTCCGTTGCGGCTCTCACAACCTAGGTTTAAGGTGCTCTTTGGCACCAAGCTTGTATATCTTGAGTTTCTAAGACTGCTCTGCTGTACGTAATCAAAACTGAAGCCCCACCCCTCCACCGCCAAAACCACCTTTAAAGTAAAGGTAAAGGGACCCCTGACCATTAGGTCTAGTCGTGGCTGACTCTGGGGTTGCAGCGCTCATCTTGCTTTATTAGCCGAGGGAACTGGCATACAGCTTCCGGGTCACATGGCAAGCATGACTAAGCTGCTTCTGGCGAACCAGAGCAGCACATGGAAACACTGTTTATCTTCTCGCCAGAGTGGTACCTATTTATCCACTTGCACTGGCGTGCTTTCAAACTGCTAGGTGGGCAGGAGCTGGGACCGAGCAAAGGGAGCTCACCCTGTCACGGGAATTCGAACTGCCGACCTTCTGATCAGCAAGCCCTAGGCTCTGTGGTTTAACCCACAGCGCCACCCACATCCCTAGCGTTAAAGTACGTAAAGCAAAAAACATTAGGTGATCCAGTCTCAGGGATCACGCTTCCATGGAATTAAGTTCCGATTAAATCAGTGTGGATTTGTTGTGACTTTTAAGCAAGGCTCTGATCCGCTGCATTCTGAGTAAATGTGCATTCTGAGTAAATGTGCAGGGCCAGAGCGGCAATCCTCTATGCCAATGAGGTTGATCAGAACTTAAGCCTAAGATTCATGTGTTGCAAACTCTGATCTTGGCATGTGAAAGGGTCAATATTTTTTTCTTATTCATTTGTTTATTTATTGAGGGGATAAAATAGTTCTCAGGCTTCTTGCGAGATCGCCAAGGATTTGTGTGGCATCTCTTAGCATTTTTGCTTTTCATGGATGGTCACTGAGTGATCACGAGAAGGTCTTAACGGAGAAGTAATATAGTTGTGTGTAGGTGACTTTTGAAATGTATTTTTGTCTCAGTTTTACTCGCTTTCCCTATAAGCCTTCAAATATATGAAGAAAGAAGAAAAGATAGCAAATATTGATACAGTATATGACAGACATACAGTTGAGTGAGCGATGGGTGGGGTGGACTTATATATTATAAACGTTGCATAAAACATCTTTATCTCTTGTACTATTTCCAAGTCGAATGGTGAAATTGCAACCACTGTGGTAAATGAAATCAAATTAGGTATACGACCCCAAAACTCTGAAATGTGTGTTTAATTCCCACCCGCCACCTCTCTTATTCAGTATAGGATTGAGGATTTAACCGTTTTAAAGATTACAAAGATCACTAGGGCAGATGTGCACCACGCATTTAAAGCATATCACTCCACAGCAAATGGCTTTCCTCTAAAGTATCATGGGAAATGTGGTTTGCTATCTCACTGGGAATTGTAGTTCACTGAAACTATAGTCTCCATGATTCTTTGGGTGGGGGGCGGTCGGTCGTGTGCACTTAATGTGCTTTAAATGTGTGGTGTGAATTTGCAGAGACTGTAATCTTGCAGTAAAATTTAGAAGGGGCTCTCTGGTTGATTTCAGTCTGAATTCAAGATACTACTTCTTAAGGCAGAGATAGGGTACCTGGTCAGGGATGATGGGGAATGTAGTTCACCAGAGGTTGCAGGTTCAATCCCTGAATGGGACAATTTACATACTCCTGTATTGCAGGGGGTTGGACAGGATTATCCACTCTACAATTTTACGATTCTATGACTACCGTATTTACACGAATCTGATGCGCCATCAAATCTAATGCGTGCCTCAGTTTTCAAAACCTTGAAACCAAGAAGGTATTTGCCATGCCAGCGGTGTTTTTCAAGTTCACAACCGAATCTGATGTGCCATCATATCTAATGCGCACCCTAATTTTCGCAAAGTGATTTGGCCAAAAAAAGGTGTGCATTGCATACGAGTAAATATGGTATGTCAATATCTATATATGCTGCCTGATGAATTGGGAGCACCTTTTAAGTAAGATGGGACGCGGGTGGCGCTGTGGGTTAAAGCACAGAGCCTAGGACTTGCTGATCAGAAGGTCGGCGGTTTGAATCCCCATGACGGGTTGAGCTCTCATTGCTCGGTCCCAGCTCCTGCCAACCTAGCAGTTCGAAAGCACGTCAAAGTGCAAGTAGAGAAATAGGTACCACTCCGGCGGGAAGGTAAACGGCGTTTCCGTGCGCTGCTCTGGTTCGCCAGAAGCAGCTTAGTCATGCTGGCCACATGACCCGGAATCTCCCTTGGCCAATAAAGCAAGATGAGCGCCGCAACCCCAGATTCGGTCACGACTGGACCTAATGGTCAGGGGTCCCTTTACCTCTACCTTTAAATAAGATTGGTTAATTGATTAAACCTTGAATCTCCAGAGATGATACCTCATGTCGGTTCTTTGACGAGAACAAGCAAGGCTAACATACTCTACTCCTTTCCTCTCCTCTCTTTAAACAGAATGGGTTTTACTCATGAGCTAAGTAGGAGAGTGTGGGCTTTATTTATTTATGAATGGTGCATAAAACGAGTTTGCTCTTTATTCTGTACTGCGTTCACGTTGTGCTCCTTTTCGCTGCGGTTGACATATAATGTACACGACGGTGTCTAACTTGACTGCGTGCATCAGTGAAAGGAGTTGCAGCCTCATCTCCCGCTGTTTGCCATGTCATCGACAGCTGAAAAGTGAAAAAGAACAAAGGGTCTTGTGGCACCTGAAAGACGGGACAAATTTATTATGCCATGAGCTTTCGTGGGGAACAAGCACAATGATTTGGCTTTAAAACCTGGCAGAACCCGTGCAATAACTTGAGCCATAAAAAGAGAAGGAGTGCATAAATAACATATGTGAGCCAGGGATTGTGAT